TCCACTGCTGCTGTACCATCACCACCAGTCTCTCTCCACTGCTACTGTACCATCACCACCAGTCTCTCTCCACTGCTACTGTACCATCACCACCAGTCTCTCTCCACTGCTACTGTACCATCACCACCAGTCTCTCTCCACTGCTACTGTACCATCACCACCAGTCTCTCTCCACTGCTGCTGTACCATCACCACCAGTCTCTCTCCACTGCTACTGTACCATCACCACCAGTCTCTCTCCACTGCTGCTGTACCATCACCACCAGTCTCTCTCCACTGCTACTGTACCATCACCACCAGTCTCTCTCCACTGCTACTGTACCACCAGTCTCTCTCCACTGCTACTGTACCATCATCACCAGTCTCTCTCCACTGCTACTGTACCATCAGTCTCTCTCCACTGCTACTGTACCATCACCACCAGTCTCTCTCCACTGCTACTGTACCATCACCACCAGTCTCTCTCCACTGCTACTGTACCATCACCACCAGTCTCTCTCCACTGCTACTGTACCACCAGTCTCTCTCCACTGCTACTGTACCATCACCACCAGTCTCTCTCCACTGCTACTGTACCATCACCACCAGTCTCTCTCCACTGCTACTGTACCATCACCACCAGTCTCTCTCCACTGCTACTGTACCACCAGTCTCTCTCCACTGCTACTGTACCATCACCACCAGTCTCTCTCCACTGCTGCTGTACCATCACCACCAGTCTCTCTCCACTGCTACTGTACCATCACCACCAGTCTCTCTCCACTGCTACTGTACCATCACCACCAGTCTCTCTCCACTGCTACTGTACCATCACCACCAGTCTCTCTCCACTGCTACTGTACCATCACCACCAGTCTCTCTCCACTGCTGCTGTACCACCACCACCAGTCTCTCTCCACTGCTACTGTACCATCACCACCAGTCTCTCCACTGCTACTGTACCATCACCACCAGTCTCTCTCCACTGCTACTGTACCATCACCACCAGTCTCTCTCCACTGCTGCTGTACCATCACCACCAGTCTCTCTCCACTGCTACTGTACCATCACCACCAGTCTCTCTCCACTGCTACTGTACCATCACCACCAGTCTCTCTCCACTGCTACCATCACCACCAGTCTCTCTCCACTGCTACTGTACCATCACCACCAGTCTCTCTCCACTGCTACTGTACCATCACCACCAGTCTCTCTCCACTGCTACTGTACCATCACCACCAGTCTCTCTCCACTGCTACTGTACCAATCACCACCAGTCTCTCTCCACTGCGGATCAGTAACCCACTGACCCATTGGTAACTTACCAACCCCCCGGTGACCCCCCGTGAACCCACCCCCCCGGTGACCCCCCGGTGACCCCTCCCCCGTGACCCCCCCCGGTGACCCCCCCCCCCAGGTGTTCTGGCTGGTGCCCCCCTCTGCTCGTAACCTTGAGGTGTACGAGCAGTGGGTCCTGTCGGGCAAACAGAGTGAGGAGTTCCTGGGTGACCGCGTGGACGACTGTGAGAGAGTCACCCTCACGCAGGGCCACACCTTCCTTATACCCTCGGGTGAGTAGTCCACCAACGCTAGTCCACCACTACTACTAGTCCACCACTACTAGTCCACCACCGCCACCGCTAGTCCACCATCACTACTACCGCTAGTCCACCACTGCTACTAGTCCACCACTACTACTACCGCTAGTCCACCACCACTACTTCCGCTAGTCCACCATCACTACCGCTAGTCCACCACCACCACCGCTAGTCCACCACCACTACCAGTCCACTACTACTACTACTGCTAGTCCACCACCACCGCTAGTCCACCACCACTACTACTGCTAGTCCACCACCACCACTGCTAGTCCACCACCACTACCGCTAGTCCACCACCACTACTACCGCTAGTCCACCATCACTACTACCGCTAGTCCACCACCACCGCTAGTCCACCACCACTACTACTGCTAGTCCACCACCGCTAGTCCACCACTACTAGTCCACCACTACTAGTCCACCACCACTACCGCTAGTCCACCATCACTACTACCGCTAGTCCACCACCACTACTACCGCTAGTCCACCATCACTACTACCACTAGTCCACCACCACCGCTAGTCCACCACCACTACTACCGCTAGTCCACCACCACTACTACTGCTAGTCCACCACCGCTAGTCCACCACCACTACCGCTAGTCCACCACCACTACCGCTAGTCCACCACCACTACCGCTAGTCCACCACCGCTACTAGTCCACCACTACTACCACCGCTAGTCCACCACCACCGCAACTTGTCCACCACCACTACTACCACTAGTCCACCACCACCGTTAGTCCACCACCACTACTACCGCTAGTCCACCACCACCGCTAGTCCACCACCACTACTACCGCTAGTCCACCACCACCACTACCGCTAGTCCACCACCACCACCGCTAGTCCACCACCACTACCACTAGTCCACCACCACTACTACCGCTAGTCCACCACCACTACTACTGCTAGTCCACCACCACCACCGCTAGTCCACCACCACCACTACCGCTAGTCCACCACCACTACTACCGCTAGTCCACCACCACTACTACCGCTAGTCCACCACCACCACCGCTAGTCCACCACCACTACCGCTAGTCCACCACCACTACTACCGCTAGTCCACCACCACTACTACTGCTAGTCCACCACCACCGCTAGTCCACCACCACCACTACCGCTAGTCCAGCACCACTACTACCGCTAGTCCACCACCACTACTACCGCTAGTCCACTACCACTACCGCTAGTCCACCACCGCTAGTCCACCACCACCACTAGTCTGGCTAGTTGACCCATCCTGTTCACCCTCTAGTTGACCCTCTAGTTGACCCTCTAGTTGACCATCTAGTTGACCCTCTAGTTGACCCTCTAGTTGACCATCTAGTTGACCCTCTAGTTGACCATCTAGTTGACCCTCTAGTTGACCATCTAGTTGACCATCCAGTTGAACATCGAGTTGACCCTCTAGTTGACCATCTAGTTGACTCTCTAGTTGACCATCTAGTTGACTCTCTAGTTGACCATCTAGTTGACCCTCTAGTTGACCCTCTAGTTGACCATCTAGTTGACCATCTATTTGACCCTCTAGTTGACCCTCTAGTTGACCATCTAGTTGACCCTCTAGTCGACCATCTAGTTGACCCTCTAGTTGACCATCTAGTTGACCCTCTAGTTGACCCTCTAGTTGACCCTCTAGTTGACCATCTAGTTGACCCTCTAGTCGACCATCTAGTTGACCCTCTAGTTGACCATCCAGTTGACCATTCAGTTGACCCTCTAGTTGACCCTCTAGTTGACCATCTAGTTGACCCTCTAGTTGACCATTCAGTTGACCCTCTAGTTGACCCTCTAGTTGACCATCTAGTTGACCATCTAGTTGACCCTCTAGTTGACCCTCTAGTTGACCATCCAGTTGACCATTCAGTTGACCCTCTAGTTGACCCTCTAGTTGACCCTCTAGTTGACCATCTAGTTGACCCTCTAGTTGACCCTCTAGTTGACCATTCAGTTGACCCTCTAGTTGACCCTCTAGTTGACCATCTAGTTTACCATCTAGTTGACCCTCTAGTTCACCATCTAGTTCATCTATTTGACCCTCTAGTTGACCCTCTAGTTGACCCTCTAGTTGACCCTCTAGTTGACCCTCTAGTTGACCATCTAGTTGACCCTCTAGTTGACCCTCTAGTTCACCATCTAGTTCATCTATTTGACCCTCTAGTTGACCCTCTAGTTGACCCTCTAGTTGACCCTCTAGTTGACCCTCTAGTTGACCATCTAGTTGACCCTCTAGTCACCATCTAGTTGACCCTCTAGTTGACCCTCTAGTTGACCTTCTAGTTAACCCTCTAGTTGACCCTCTAGTTGACCATCTAGTTGACCCTCTAGTTGACCCTCTAGTTGACCCTCTAGTTGACCTTCTAGTTCACCATCTAGTTTACCCTCTAGTTGACCCTCTAGTTGACCCTCTAGTTGACCCTTGCCAGGTTGGATCCACGCGGTGTTCACCCCCGAGGACTCGCTCGTGTTCGGAGGCAACTTTCTCCACTCCTTCAACATCCCCATGCAGCTGCGCATCAGAGACACGGAGGACCGCACGCACGTGAGAGACACGGGGGGGTGGAGACACGTGAGAGACACGGGGGGGTGGAGAGACACGTGAGAGACACGGGGGGGGAGAGACACGTGGGGTGGAGACACGGGGGGGGAGGGAGAGAGACACGGGGGGTGGAGACACGTGAGAGACATGGGGGGGGGAGAGAGACACCAGGGAGGGAGAGAGACACGGGGATGGGGGGGGAGAGAGACACGGGGGGGGGGTGGAGAGATGCGGGGGGGGTGGGGGGAGAGACACGGGGGGGGGGAGAGACACGGGGGGGGAGGGGAGAGACACGGGGGGGGGGGTAGAGAGGCACGGGGGGGGCGGGAGAGAGACACGGGGGTGGTGTCTGTGTGTGTTTATCTATATGTATGTGTGTGTCTGTGTGTATCTATATCTGTGTTTGTCTGTGTGTATCTATCTATATGTATGTATGTGTGTGTCTGTGTCTGTCTGTGTGTGTGTCTTTGTGTGTATCTATATGTACGTGTGTCTGTGTCTGTCTGTGTGTGTGTCTTTGTGTGTATCTATATGTATGTGTGTGTCTGTGTCTGTCTGTGTGTGTGTCTTTGTGTGTATCTATATGTATGTATGTGTGTGTCTGTGTCTGTCTGTGTGTGTGTCTTTGTGTATATATATGTACGTGTGTGTCTGAGTCTGTCTGTGTGTGTGTCTTTGTGTGTATCTATATGTATGTGTGTGTCTGTCTGTGTGTGTGTGTCTTTGTGTGTATCTATATGTATGTGTGTGTCTGAGTCTGTCTGTGTGTGTGTCTTTGTGTGTATCTACGTGTATGTGTGTGTCTGTGTCTGTCTGTGTGTGTCTTTGTGTGTATCTACGTGTATGTATGTCTGTCTGTGTGTGTACGTGAGTAGGTACCTGCTAAGTTCCGGTACCCCTTCTACTACGAGATGTGTTGGTACGTGTTGGAGCGCTACGTCTACTGCCTGACCGGCACCTCCTACCTCACGCCGGCCTTCCAGAGGGAGGCTCGCCCTCATCGGTGAACAACAACCACAACAATAACAACCACAACCACAACAATAACATCAGCCACAACAATAACGACAACAACAGTCACAACAACAACAACAACCACAACAATAACAACCACAACCACAACAATTGCATCAGCCACAACAACAACGATAACGACAACAGCCACAACAACAACCACAACAACAACAACCACAACAATAACATCAGCCACAACAACAACGATAACGACAACAACAGCCACAACAACAGCCACAACAATAACAACCACAACAATAACATCAGCCACAACAACAACGATAACGACAACAACAACCACAACAATAACAACCACAACCACAACAATAACATTAGCCACAACAACAACAATAACGACAACAACAGCCAAACAACAACCACAACATAACAACCACAACCACAACAATAGCATCAGCCACAACAACAACGATAACGACAACAACAGCCACAACCACAACAATAACAACAACCACAACAATAACATCAGCCACAACAACAACAATAACTACAACAGCCACAACAACAACCACAACAATAACAACCACAACCACAACAATAACATCAGCCACAACAACAATAACGACAACAACAGCCACAACAATAACAACCACAACAACAATAACGACAACAACAGCCACAACAACAACCACAACAATAACAACCACAACAATAACATCAGCCACAACAACAACAATAACGACAACAACAGCCACAACAACAACCACAACAATAACAACCACAACCACAACAATAACATCAGCCACAACAACAACAATAACGACAACAACAGCCACAACAACAACCACAACAATAACAACCACAACAATAACATCAGCCACAACAACAACAATAACATCAGCCACAACAACAACGATAACGACAACAACCACAACAATAACAACAATAACATCAGCCACAACAACAACGACAACAACAACAACCACAACAATAACAACAACAATCACCACAATAACAACCACAACAATAACATCAGCCACAACAACAACGATAACGACAACAGCCACAACAACAACCACAACAATAACAACCACAACAATAACATCAGCCACAACAACAACGATAACGACAACAACAGCCACAACAACAACCACAACAATAACAACCACAACAATAACATCAGCCACAACAACAACGATAACGACAACAACAACAACCACAACAATAACAACCACAACAATAACAACCACAACCACAACAATAACATCAGCCACAACAACAACGATAACGACAACAACAGCCACAACAACAACCACAACAATAACAACAACAATAACAACGATAACAACCACAACAATAACATCAGCCACAACAACAACGATAACGACAACAACAGCCACAACAACAACCACAACAATAACAACCACAACAATAACATCAGCCACAACAACAACGATAACGACAACAACAGCCACAACAACCACAACAATAACAACCACAACAATATCATCAGCCACAACAACAACGATAACGACAACAACAGCCACAACAACAACCACAACACTAACAACAACACCAACACCCACAACCGCAGCAACAACAGCCACTGTAACAACAGCCACAACCACAACAACCGCAGAAGCAGCAACCACAACATCAGCAGTGTGTGTCCATGTAGTGGTTTTCCACCTCTCTGGGGCTCATCAGCAGTGTGTGTCCATGTAGTGGTCTCCACCTTTCTCCTGCGATTGGCCACGTGGAATGTTCGAACGCTCACTGCGGCGGAGAGGCTGCCCACTCCTCTGTCGGGAGCTGGACCGGTACCGCCTGGATCTCTGCGGCATTCAGGAGGTCCGATGGACCTGGCTCTGGCTCCTGCCACCATGAGGGGTGGACAGTCCCTCTACTCGGGGCAGGAGACAAGAGGGAGTGGCTCTTCTTCTGGACAGAAGAGGGGTCGTGGGAGCGTGGCGGTGACGTGTGGGAAGCTGTAAGCCCCAGGCTACTGTGGGCTCGCTTGCCCATCGACAGGAGGCGAGGAGTGGTGGTGGTGGTGGTTATTTATGCCCCCACCAAAGATGATCGGTGGAGGGGGACGCAGGCAAGGCCGATGAGTCGGATGCCTTCTATGACCTCCTGTCACAGGTGCTGACTAAAGTGGCCCCTCGAGATAGAGTCATCTTGTTGGGTGACGTTAATTCCCAAGCGGGTCATGATACAGATACCTGGGCCGGAAGGATCGGAAGGCATGGGTCAGACCAGCTTAATAACAATGGTAGGAGGCTGCTAGACTTCTGTGCAGCCCCATGGGACTGTAATTACCTACACGCTGTTCCGGCATTGGTGCATCCGCACAACATCATGGATGCACGCCGGATGTGGGCCCATGACCTTGACACCAGGAACTACCGTGGAGCTGATCTGCCCACTGACCATCGACTTGTCATCTGTAAGATGCGCCCGCCATTCTTCCACTCCCCTTGGTGGGTGTCCATCTAGGACCCCATTCAAACCCACAGTGACCTGGTCTCAGCTCGCTGATGAAAGTTGCAAGCGAGAATGTCATCGCTTGCGGCTGGGGTTGGCATCTTTCCCCACTCCCGATGCCGATGGGAAATGGACGAGGTTCAGGACTGCGGCTCATGCAGCTGCAACGGCTGCTTTGGGGTACGCGGTCCAGACCTCCCCAGAGACCTTGGCTGAAGGAGGAGGTGTTCAGGCTGGTTGAGAGAAAGCGACAGGCTCCCACTCTCACTGCCGACAGTATCCAACATCGCAGAATGAGGAGGCTTTACCGCAGCCCTCGCTCGGGAGGTGCGGAGAGCCGTGCGGCTCTGCAAGGATGATGGGTGGTGGTTTGCGGGTTTCTGAGGAGATGGAATCTGCCTCGGTCGCTCGCAATCACAAATCACTCATTAATTCGATCAAAAGAAGAAATGTGCAGCACCGCACCTGTCCACCATCCTTAAGGGAAAGAAAGGTTGATCTGATCTCCAATCCCCAGAAAACTGCTCTGCAGGTTTGCAGGGCATTTGTGTGGGGGGTCTTAGGGGAGGGGAATTCCCCTTCAGGCCAGGTAACATCATCGGGCAAGCATTTACTACACCATTGGAAACCTCATTTGCCAGTAACGAAATATGATAATTGTTTTTTTTTACCCTTTTATCTTGGCAACAAAACTGACACCGTTTTTTTACAAGGAGTCACGTTTACATTGACCACAATACCTGCGGTCGGAACGCAAACCAAAAACGACAAACTCTGATAATGTCTTTGAGTTGTGCGCCTTTTGGCGTCTTCTGGTCCAACACCAACGTGAGACGAGGCTCTAAAGAAAGCTGTCTCTTGTGTGGACCAATCAATTTCAAGGACAGTGCCACATACAGCGCTGTCCTACCAGACAGTCTCGTCCCTTCACCTGATGAAGGCCGCTTGTGTTGTGGCCGAAACGTCGTGAGAATATTATTGTGTTATTTTATTTTATCAATTTATTATTTTATTCTCATTCTACGTGGTGACTTTACCGAAAGAACCAAAGAAGATGAATCCTTGCAGTCACGAAAGCTTTAAATCGAAATTTAAATCGAAAATTATCAGAGTTGTCGTTTTTGGTTTGCATTCCGACCGCAGGTATTGTGGTCAATGTAAACATGACTCCTTGTCAAAAAAAGGTGTCAGTTTTGTTGCCAAGATAAAAGGGTAAAAAAAAACAATTATCATATTTGTTACTGGCAAATGAGGTTTCCAATGGTGTAAATGCTTAACCCCGAGCTCTCATACTCTGATGGTGCATTGCCTTTGAGTTGTGCGCCTTTTGGCGTCTTCTAGTCCAACACCAACGTGAGACGAGGCTCTAAAGAAAGCCGTCTCGGGTGTGGACCAATCAATTTCAAGGACAGTGCCACATACATTATCAGAGTTTGTCGTTTTTTGGTTTGCGTTTCCGACCGCAGGTATTGTGGTCAATGTGAACGTGACTCCTTGTCAAAAAAAAGGTGTCAGTTTTGTTGCCAGATAAAAGGGTAAAAAAAAACAATTATCATCTTGGGGCAAGGTTAGGGACGACCCTGCTGGGGCTGCCGTGCCTCGAATATTGGCAGAAGTAGCCACCCCTTCTGAGTGGTTGGCTGAGGTGCCATCTGTGGAGGAAGTGCGCGGGGCGATGCAGAGTCTGAGACCAGGAAAACCGCCGGGCAGAGACGGATCTCCCAAGAAAAATGCTGAGGGAGGGTGGTGTCTGTCCGCAGAGTGACCCACATGACATCATCACAACTGTCTGGACCACAGGACGGGTTCCGCAGGATTGAAAGGATGCCCTGGTGGGGTGGTCCCCCTTTTTTAAGAAGGGGGACCGCACAGATTGTAACAACTACAGGGGCATCTCACTCCTCAGTGTGCCAGGAAAGGTCCTGGCAAGGATCATTTATCTTTTCCTTGCCAGGCAGCACGCTGAGGAGAGGCTACATAAAACGTTGGGTCTTCTTGGCCACTTTCATGCCCTTCTCTATGCGTCTGAAATGTGGACCGCCCTGACGGAATTTCTGCGTCGTTTAGAAACATTCAGGCTGGCCTGCCTTACGATTCATCCTGGGTTCAACCTGCAGGCTAGATTGTGTGTGGAGCTCATAAATCCTTAAAAGATCTATTCAATGTCCCATCCGTGAGCTCCGGGAGGTAAGGCTGCATTGGCTGGTGGTGCATCAGCCAGTCATCTTAGTCAGTCGACCCGTGGCATCTGGGTCTGCCCCGTGACCTCCTGTCAGCGGGCGTTCGACACTTCACGTGGCCTCAAGGTGCACATGGCCTGGCACAAGCGGCGTGGTGACTTCGCCTCCGCTTAGTGACGAATGGCCGGGCGTTGTTGCTGTTTTCCTTGTTCCTCCGCTTCTGTTTGGGGCTCATCAGCAGTGTGCATCTATGTAGTGGTTTCCGCATCCCCCGGGGCTCATCAGCAGTGCTGTGTGCTGTGCGCAGATTTCCCGGAGTTGGAGAGAGCCAACCCCACGTTCCCCATCAAGATGGAGGCTGCAGAAGATGACAACAGCAGCAGTCATAACAACATCACCAACAGCTATAGCCATGACGGCGGTGACGGCGGTGACGGCGGTGGTGGCTGTGTTGGCGGTGATAATGGTTGTAGTGTTGATGGCGGTGATGGCGGTGGCTTTAGCGGTGGAGGTGATGGTTGTGGCAGTGGTTGCGATGGGGATGGTGTTGGCTACGCACAGCCTCACCCGGGATGCAAACGGCAGTGGCTGCTGTCGCCGCCGTCGTCGCCACCACCACCACCACCATCGGCAACCACCTCAGTCTCGTCTGCAACTACAACAACCGACGCTACACCCTGCGTCGCTACGGCCGTTGTTGCTCCAACAAGCACCAGAACAGCCACGTCAACAACGGACGGAGCGGTGCCATCTCGCGGCGCAACCTGGCCGACATTCGGACCGGCAACGGCGGCCGGAGCGGCCGGCGGTGTCGCCGCCACAGCCGTTGCCGCGGATGGAGACGCTGTAGCGGCTACAGGCGGCACGCCGGCGGCTGAAGGGGTTGCCATAGCGACGGCCGAGCGCAACGTAGCCGCGGCAAAAGCAGCAGCGGCCACAACCGCGGAGGCGGCGGCGGAGGCGGCGGAGGCGGCGGCGGCGGCGTTGGGTGCCGTGGATACGGCTGCAGCCGGAGCTACAGCCGGAACTACAGCCCCGGTGGCGACAGCTGGAACCGCAGCCCCAGTGGTGATTATCGGAACTGCGGCCCCGGTGGCGACAGGCGGAGTTGCGGCTGTGGCTGAAGCAGTGGCGGCGGCGGCAACAACAACAACGACGACGACAACGAGATGTTCTCCGTATCCAGGCGCTTTGGAAACGCAACGGCCGCCCGAGTCGCAGCAACAACAGTCGCAGCACGGCGAGCATCAACAGCAACGCGAACAGCAGCAGCTGCAGCAGCTGCTGCAACACCAGCAGGCGGAACAGCAGCGTCATTTGGACCGCCAACAGCAACAGCAACAGCTGCTGCTGCTGGACGACCATCGACCCCGCCAGCAACTCTGCCAGCAACAACAATCGCTGCAACAACCTCGGTGGGCTGGAGCCCCAGTGGAGGGGAAGGTGGACAATGCAGCTTCACCACAGTGGAGTGGAGCCCCAGTGGATGTGAAGGTGGACAATGCAGCTTCACCACAGTGGAGTGGAGCCCCAGTGGATGTGAAGGTGGACAATGCAGCTTCACCACAGTGGAGTGGAGCCCCAGTGGAGGGGAAGGTGGACAATGCAGCTTCACCACAGTGGAGTGGAGTCCCAGTGGAGGTGAAGGTGGACAATGCAGCTTCACCACAGTGGAGTGTAGCCCCAGTGGATGTGAAGGTGGACTGTCTGGCTCCACCACAGTGGACTGGAGCCCCAGTGGATGTGAAGGTGGACAATGCAGCTTCACAGTTGACTGAAGTCCCAGTGGAGATGAAGGTGGACAGCCTGACTCCACCCCAGTGGGCTGGAGTCCCAGTGGATGTGAAGGTGGACAGCGTGGCTCCACCCCAGTGGGCTGGAGTCCCAGTGGAGATGAAGGTGGAGAGCGTGGCTCCACCCCAGTGGACTGGAGCCCCAGTGGAGGGGAAGGTGGACAGCCTGACTCCACCACAGTGGGCTGGAGTCCCAGTGGATGTGAAGGTGGACTGTTTGACTCCACCACAGTGGACTGGAGTCCCAGTGGAGGGGAAGGTGGACAGCCTGACTCCACCACAGTGGGCTGGAGTCCCAGTGGATGTGAAGGTGGACTGTTTGACTCCACCACAGTGGACTGGAGTCCCACTGGAGGGGAAGGTGGACAATGCAGCTTCACCACAGTGGACTGGAGTCCCAGTGGATGTGAAGGTGGAGAGCGTGGCTCCACCCCAGTGGGCTGGAGTCCCAGTGGAGGGGAAGGTGGACAATGCACCTTCACCACAGTGGAGTGTAGCCCCAGTGGACATGAAGGTGGACAGCGTGGCTCCACCCCAGTGGGCTGGAGTCCCAGTGGAGATGAAGGTGGACGAGCGTGGCTCCACCACAGTGGGCTGGAGTACCAGTGGAGGGGAAGGTGGACAATGCAGCTTCACCACAGTGGAGTGTAGCCCCAGTGGACATGAAGGTGGACAGCCTGGCTCCACCCCAGTGGGCTGGAGTCCCAGTGGATGTGAAGGTGGACAGCCTAGCTCACCCCGTGGGCTGGAGTCCCAGTGGAGATAAAGGTGGACAGCCTGACTCCACCCCAGTGGGCTGGAGCCCCAGTGGAGATGAAGGTGGACTGTTTGACTCCACCACAGTGGGCTGGAGTCCCAGTGGATTGAAGGTGGACTGTTTGACTCCACCACAGTGGACTGGAGCCTCAGTGGGATGTGAAGGTGGACTGTTTGACTCCACCACAGTGGACTGGAGCCCCAGTGGATGTGAAGGTGGACTGTTTGACTCCACCCCAGTGGGCTGGAGCCCCAGTGGATGTGAAGGTGGACTGTTTGACTCCACCACAGTGGACTGGAGTCCCAGTGGATGTGAAGGTGGACAGCCTGGCTCCACCACAGTGGACTGGAGTCCCAGTGGATGTGAAGTGGACAATGCGGCTCCACCCCTCGGGCACGTCCTGGTGGTGGTTCCGGTGCCACTGCTGGGACAGCCGCCACCTCCTGCTCCGTCGGGGGCCTCTGTGGCCTTCACCGTGGCTTCCCTCCGTGGCCTCCTCTGGCGACTCTTCCGTGGCCCTCCGTGGCAATCCACCGGGGCCACCGCGGCCTCCACCGGCGTCTCTACTGTGGCCTCCTCTGCGGTCTCTTCCGGGGCCTCCTCGGGCAGCTTCTCCCTGGCCTCCGGCGTCGCCTCCGGGGCATCCTCTGGGGCGACTGTGGCCTCCGTCGTGGCCTCCTCTGAGGCTACTGTGGCCTCCACCGTGGCCTCCTCTGAGGCTACTGTGGCCTCCACCGTGGCCTCCTCTGGGGCGACTGTGGCCTCTACCCCTCGCCTCCTCTGAGGCTACTGTGGCCTCCACCGTGGCCTCATCTGAGGCTACTGTGGCCTCTACCCTCGCCTCCTCTGAGGCGACTGTGGCCTCCACCGTGGCCTCCTCTGGGGCCACTGTGGCCTCCACCGTGGCCTCCTCTGAGGCGACTGTGGCCTCTACCCTCGCCTCCTCTGAGGCGACTGTGGCCTCTACCCTCGCCTCCTCTGGGGCGACTGGGGCCTCTACGTGGCCTCATCTGTGGCCTCTACCCTCGCCTCTTCTGGGGCGACTGTGACCTCCACCGTGGCCTCCTCTGAGGCTACTGTGGCCTCCACCGGGGCCTCTACTCTGGCCTTCTCCGGGGCCACCTCCGGGGCCTCCTCAGTGGCGTCCACCATGGCCTCCACCGTGGCCTCCTCTGAGGCTACTGCGGCCCCCGCCGGGGCCGCCTCCTCCTCCTCCTCCGCCGGGGCCGCCTCCTCTTCGGCGGTGGCGGCCGCGGCGGTGCTGCTGACGGCGCTGGAACGCGTGGGCCTCAGCGCCCTGGTCTCCCGCCTCTCGGCGCTGCCCCCGGGAAAGCGATGCGTGCCGCCCGGCATCGGCCAACCCGACCACCTGCTGGGACACATAGCGGTGAGGGTGCGGAGCGGAGCGGAGCGGGGGGGGTGGTGGGTGAATTTGGTTTGTGGTGGGGTGAGAGAGCGGCAAAATTAGACCCCTACCTCGGTGGTGGCGGACGGTGCCGCTACGGTGGATGTGAGCAATGCCGTTAGAGGGATGGAGTCATTATCTTGGGTGACTTTAATGCCCGTGTGAGTCATGACGCAGACACCTGGGCCAGAGTGATTGAAAGTCATGGGCCAGACAAGCTCAACAACAACAACAACGGTAGGAGGGGACCGCTGTACTTCTGTGCAGCCCATGGGCTTGTCATTACCAACCCCAGGCTACTGTGGGCTCGCTTGCCCATCGACAGGAGGCGAGGAGTGGTGGTGGTGGTGGTTACTTATGCCCCCACCAAAGATGATCGGTGGAGGGGGACGCAGGCAAGGCCGATGAGTTGGATGCCTTCTATGACCTCCTGTCACAGGTGCTGGCTAAAGTGGCCCCTCGGGATAGAGTCATCTTGTTGGGTGACTTTAATTCCCAAGCGGGTCATGATACAGATACCTGGGCCGGAGGGATCGGAAGGCATGGGTCAGACCAGCTTAATAACAATGGTAGGAGGCTGCTAGACTTCTGTGCAGCCCCATGGGACTGTAATTACCTACACGCTGTTCCGGCATTGGTGCATCCACACAACATCATGGATGCACGCTCGGTCCAAGCGAGAACATCTGCTGGACTATATAGTGACGGAACAGCCGTGGAGCGGATCCGCCCACTGACCATCGGCTTGTCATCTGTAAGATGCGCCTGCCATTCTTCCACTGTGGTGGTGGGTGTCCATCTAGGACCCCATTCAAACCCACAGTGGCCTGGTCTCAGCTGATGAAAGTTGCAAGCGAGAATGTCATCATCGCTTGCAGCTGGGGTTGGCATCTTTCCCCACTCCTGATGCTGATGGGAAATGGACGAGGTTCAGGACTGTGGCTAATGCAGCTGCAACGGCTGCTTTGGGGTACGCGGTCCAGACCTCCCCAGAGACCCTGGCTGACAGAGGAGGTGTTGAGGATGATTGAAGTAAAGCGACAGGCCCACTGTCATCGGCTACAGAATCCCACGTCAGAGAATGAGGAGGCTTACCGCAGCCTTCGCTCGGAGGTTTCGGAGGGCCGTGAGGTGCTGCAAGGATGGGTGGTGGTCGCGGGTTGCTGAGGAGATGGAGTCTGCCTCAGTGGCCCGCGATCACAAATCTCTATATAACGCCATCAAAAAAGTAACCTGCAGCACCACACCTATTACCATCGTTAGGGGAAAGAACGGTGATCCAATCTCCGACCCCCAGGAACAGATTTGCAGATATGCTGAGCATTTCTGTGAGGTCCTGAGGGAGTGGAAACCCCTCAGCCTGCAAAACATCATGGGGCAAAGTGGGGATGACTCTGCTGAGGCCTGCGGTGCCTCAAATATTGGAAGAAGTCACCCCCTGCGAGTGGCTGGCTGAGGTGCCATCTGTTGAGGAAGTACCGAAGGCGATCAGAGTCCGAGACCCAGGAAAAGCGCCACACAGAGATGATCGCCCAAGCGAAATGCTGAGGGAGGGTGGCGTTTTGTGCACAGACTGCCCTATTATGACATCATAACAACAGTCTGGACCACTGAATGGGTTCCGCAGGATTGGAGGGATGCCCTGGTGGTCCCCCTCTTTAAGAAGGGGGACCGCACAGACTGTAACAACTACAGGGGCATCTCACTCCTCAGTGTGCCGGGAAAGGTCCTGGCCAGGATTATTCAACAACACCTTGCCAGGCACGCTGAGGAGAGGCTTGCAGAACCCCAATGTGGTTTCAGGAAAGGGCGGTCCTGCACAGATGCCATATTTTCTGTCCGTCTGCTGCAGCAGAAGTGTAGGGAATTCCAACAAGACCTACATCTCTGCTTTATTGACCTGGTCAAGGCCTATGATACCATGCATAGGCTGGACTCTGGGTAGTTTCTTCATGCTTTCGGAGTCCCTGACCCTCTGCTCACGATCATTAAGGACCTTCATGATGGTGGGCAGGCCTGGGTAAAACTACGTGGATGGGAGTTGGAGCCATTCCCTGTTCACCTTGGGGTGCAACAGGGATGTCCTCTGGCTCCCACATTATTTAACATCTATTTCGACCACGTAGTTCGTGAATCCTTATGGCTGTACCGGAGGAATCTCCATCTGGTACAGATACAATGGGAGGCTGATCGATGCCCGGGTGCGGTCACGGGATGGCTCCCTATTGCTCAACCACGTTATGTATGCCGATGATCTGGTAATTGCTGCTCACTCAGAGGAGTTGGAGACGCTGTTGCTGAATCTGGAGCGTGCCACTAAGAGGTGGGGCCTTACCATCAGCCCCACGAAAACGAAGCACCTGCCTGGGTATTTTGTGCTATCAAACACTCCACCTCCTCAGCTCCCCATTGGTGATGGATCAGTTACGGAGAGAGAGTGGAGAGTTTTCCATACCTGGGCGGTGTGCTTACGACAAGCTCCGGTTTGACAGCAGAGATCTCAATCAGTCGAGGGACATCTTTTCATCGGTTGCGTAACGCTGTGTGGAAGCTACCTGGTCTGTCGCTCCACACGAAGCTTCAGCCTTCTCGGTCACGGTCATTCCCTCCCTTCTCTACGCCTGTGAACCCCCCTAGTGGAACATCTACCCTGGTTTGAAACATTTAGGCTGGCCTGCTTACGATCTATCCTGGGTTTAACCAGGCTGGATTGTGTGAGGAGCTTACAAATCTTTTAAAGATTTGGACAAAGTCCAATCGGCGAGCTCCTCCGGCAGGCCGGATCGAGGGGGCTAAACGGGCGTGGCACGGGCTAGAGAAGAGACGGAGAGTGACGTGATACAGGAGGACGTGGAGCTGAGTGGACTTTGCCGTTGACCGGTACCAGCGGTGTCAAGATCGGCCTCTTGAGGAGGGACGCTACTGGGCAGTTGGAGGCAGTCGCCCTCCAACAACAACGGAGGGCGGAGGAGCGACGCTCACAACAACGAGCGGAGCACCAGATGGCTAAAGCACAGGCAGGTTGGCACAGTTAGGGGGCACAGGTGGTGCACCAGCCAGTCATCTCAGTCATCTCAGGTCAGTCGACCCGTGGCACCTGCTGGGTCTGCCCCGTGACCTCCTGCCGGCGGGCGTTCGACACTTCACGTGGCCTCAAGGTGCACGTGGCCTGGCACAAGCGTCGTGGTGACGTCACTGCCACTAGTGGCGAATGGCGGTTGTTGTTGTTGTTGGTAGTGAGTGGGTGGGGGTGGTGGGTGAGGGAGTGGGTGGAGTAGCGGGGGGGGGGGGGGGGGGGGGGGTCATGGTGAGGGCGGTTCATCGTCACCCTTCGTCCGTTGTCGTGGTTACAGGCGATGACCCGTCCGTTGTCGTGGTTACAGGCGCTGCTCGAGCTGCACGCCGGGGACGACGTGGAGGCGGCCCATCACCGGAAGTCCCCATCGTCACCTGGCCCCGCCCCCACCCGACGCGTGAGCACTGCACGGGGGGGGGCACTGGGGGGAGGGAGTGGGGGGGGGCAATGGGGCGGGAGGGGGGAGAGGGGGGGGCAACTGGGGGGGAGGGGTGGTGGCATTAGGAGGGGGTCACTGGGGGGGGAGTGGGGAGACACAGAGACCCCCTCAACTCTTGTGGCTACATCCCCCTAACCCCCCCACCTACCCCCCCCCCCTCTTCCCCCCTCTCTCCCCCTCTCCCCCCCTCTCTCCCCCTCCCCCTCCCCCCGCCTCCCCCCGGCGCAGCCTCCCCCCCCCCCCCCCCCCCCCCCCACCCCCGCACCCCCCACCATCCCCCGCCCCCCCCCCCGCACCCCTCCCCCCCCCCCCCAGGACCCCCCCCCCCCCCCCCCACCCCTCCCTCCCTCCCTAACAGCCCAAAGGCACCGGGCCGTCAGAAATCTCGCTCCACCCTCCAACAACAACAGCAACAGCAACAACCCGCGCCCTCGTCCACATCCACCTCATCGTCCTCCTCCTCCTCCACCACCTCCTCCTCGTCATCCTCCACCGCCTCCTGCACCTCCTCATCGTCTCTCCACTCCTCCTCGCCGGCCGCGGCCGCGATGCCTCCGACGACGGCGGCGGTCGTGGCCTCTCCTGGCGCCGGCGGGGTGGCGGCGGAGGCGGTGGAGGAGGAGGTGGCGGAGGAGGTGGAGGAGGCGGAGGAGGCGGAGGAGGTGGAGCGAGGAGGAGGAGGACGAGGTGCCGGAGGTGCCTGGCTTGCGCGAGGACTGAGTGCGGTAGCTGCCACTTCTGCCGGGACATGCGCAAGTTCGGCGGGCCAGGCCGCATGAAGCAGTCTTGCCTCATGCGGCAGTGTGTCGCGGTGAGCTGGGTGGGCGGGTGGGTGGGTGGGTGGGTGGGTGAGTGGGTGGGTGAGTGGGTGAGTGGGTGGGTGGGTGGGGTGAGTGGGTGGATGGGTGGGTGGATAGATGGGTGGGTGAATGGGTGGGTGGATGAGCGAGTGGATGAGCGAGTGGATGAGAGAGTTGATGAGTGGGTGGGTGAGTGAGTGGATGGGTGGGTGGGTGACTAGGTGGGTGGATCGGTGGGTGAGTGAATGGGTGGGTGGATGGGTGGGTGGGTGACTAGGTGGGTGGATGAGCGAGTGCATGAGTGGGTGGATGGGTGGGTGGGTGACTAGGTGGGTGGATCGGTGGGTGAGTGAATGGGTGGGTGGGTGAATGAGTGGATGAGTGGGTGGGTGGATGAGTGGGTGAATGTGTGGGTGGATGAGTGAGTGGATGGGTAGGTGAGTGAATGGGTGGGTGGATCAGTGGGTGGATGAGCGAGTGGATGAGTGGGTGGGTGGATGAGTGAGTGGATGAGTGGGTGGATGGGTGGGTGGGTGACTAGGTGGATGGATCGGTGGGTGAGTGAATGGGTGGGTGGATGGGTGGGTGGGTGACTAGGTGGGTGGATGAGTGATGTGCATGAGTGGGTGGATGGGTGGGTGGGTGACTAGGTGGGTGGATCGGTGGGTGAGTGCATGAGTGGGTGGATGGGTGGGTTGGTGGGTGAATGAGTGGATGAGTGGGTGGGTGGACGAGTGGGTGAATGTGTGGGTGGATGAGTGAGTGGATGGGTAGGTGAGTGAATGGGTGGGTGGATCAGTGGGTGGATGAGCAAGTGGATGAGTGGGTGGGGTGGATGAGTGAGTGGATGAGTGGGTGGGTGGATTAGTGAGTGGATGAGTGGGTGGATGGGTGGGTGCGTGAATGGGTGCATGAATGAGTGGGTGGATGAGTGAGTGGATGAGTGGGTGGGTGAATGTGTGGATGGATGAGAGAGTGGACGAGTGGGTGGATAGGTGGGTGGGTGAATGGGTGGGTGGATGAGTGAGTGGATGAGTGGGTCGATGGGTGAATGAGTGGGTGGATGGGTGGGTGGGTGGATGAGTGGGTGGATGAGTGGGTGGATGAGTGGGTCGATGGGTGGATGGTTTGGTGGATGGATGGGTGGATGAGTGGATGAGTGGGTGGATGGGTGGGTGAGTGGATGAGTGAGTGGGTGGGTGAATGGGTGGGTGGGTGAAAGGGAGTGTGCAGTGAAACTCGTGGATTGATGATTATACTACTGATGCTGCTGCTGCAGATCATTATGATTCGAGTGATGCTGCTGATGATGATTCTACTACTGATGATGCTGCTGATGATCATTCTACTGATGAAGATTCTACTACTAATGCTGCTGCTGATGATGATTCTACTGATGATGATTCTACTACTGATGCTGCTGCTGATGATGATTCTACTGATGATTATGATGATGATTCTACTACTTATGCTGCTGCTGATGATGATTCTACTGATGATGATTCTACTGCTGTTGCTGCTGCTGATGATGATGATGATTCTGCTGCTGATGATTCTACTGATGATGATTCTACTACTTATGCTGCTGATGATGATTCTACTGATGATGATTCTACTGATGATGCTGTTGATGATGATTCTACTGATGATGATTCTACTGATGATGCAGTTTCTACTGATGATGATTCTACTGATGATGCTGTTTCTACTGATGATGATGATTCTACTGATGATGATTCTACTGATGATGATGATGATTCTGCTGACGATGCTGCTTCTGCTGCTGATGATGACGCTGCTTCGCCCACCGCCCCTCCCACAGCCGATCCTGCCACACACGGCCGTGTGTGCCGTGTGCCTGGAGGCCGCTCGCGACTCCGGGGGGTCCGACACGGCGGTGGTGGCGGTGGGCGGCTGGTGGCGGCGGTTGTCGGTGGTGGTGGTGGCGGTGGTGGTGGCGGTGGTGGTGGCGGTGGTGGTGGCGGTGGTGGTGGCGGCGGTGGTGGAAGTCCCGCGAGAGGAGACGCCGGAGAAGGGGCGGTGGCGGGGCGGACGGCACCCCCACTCGGAGCCCTGGCCAACAGCCTCATGGAGTGCTCCATCTGCAGCGAGATTGTTCACCCAGCTTGCCTGCAGGTGGGTGGGTGGTCGAGTGGGTGGGTGGGTGGATGGGTGGTAGAGTGGGTTGGTGAGTGAGTGGGTGGGTGGTAGAGTGGGTGGGTGGGTGGTAGAGTGGGTAGGTGGGTGGGTGGTAGAGTGGGTGGGTGGGTGAGTGGTAGAGTGGGTGGGTGGGTGGGTGGTAGAGTGGGTGGGTGGGTGGTAGAGTGGGTGGGTGGTAGAGTGGGTGGGTGAGTGGGTGGGTGAGTGGGTGGGTGAGTGGTAGAGTGAGTGGGTGAGTGGTAGAGTGAGTGGGTGAGTGGTAGAGTGAGTGGGTGGGTGGTAGAGTGGGTGGTGTGGGTGGTAGTTTGAGTGGGTGGGTGGTAGAGTGGGTGGGTGGTAGGGTGGGTGGGTGGTAGAGTGGGTGGTAGAGTGGGTGGGTGAGTGATAGAGTGGGTGGGTGGGTGAGTGGTAGAGTGGGTGGGTGGGTGGTAGAGTGGGTGGGTGGTAGAGTGGGTGGGTGAGTGGTAGGGTGAGTGGGTGGGTGGTAGAGTGGGTGAGTGGGTGGGTGGTTGGGTGGGTGAGTGGGTGGGTGGTAAAATGAGTGGGTGAGTGGGTGGTGGAGTGGGTGGGTGAGTGGTAGAGTGGGTGGGTGAGGGAAGGAGGTTCTCACCCAAGATTTGACGGTACATGGCCCCGTCCATCGTCCCTTTGATGCGGTGAAGTTGTCCTGTCCCCTTAGCAGAAAAACACCCCCAAAGCATAATGTTTCCACCTCCATGTTTGACGGTGGGGATGGTGTTCTTGGGGTCATAGGCAGCATTCCTCCTCCTCCAAACACGGCGAGTTGAGTTGATGCCAAAGAGCTCCATTTTGGTCTCATCTGACCACAACACTTTCACCCAGTTGTCCCTCTGAATCATTCAGATGTTCATTGGCAAACTCCAGACGGGCATGTATATGTGCTTTCTTGAGCAGGGGGACCTTGCGGGGCGCTGCAGGATTTCAGTCCTTCACGGCGTAGTGTGTTACCAATTGTTTTCTTGGTGACTATGGTCCCAGCTGCCTTGAGATCATTGACAAGATCCTCCCGTGTAGTTCTGGGCTGATTCCTCACCGTTCTCATGATCATTGCAACTCCACGAGGTGAGATCTTGCATGGAGCCCCAGGCCGAGGGAGATTGACAGTTCTTTTGTGTTTCTTCCATTTGCGAATAATCGCACCAACTGTTGTCACCTTCTCACCAAGCTGCTTGGCAATGGTCTTGTAGCCCATTCCAGCCTTGTGTAGGTCTACAATCTTGTCCCTGACATCCTTGGAGAGCTCTTTGGTCTTGGCCATGGTGGAGAGTTTGGAATCTGATTTATTGATTGCTTCTGTGGACAGGTGTCTTTTATACAGGTAACAAGCTGAGATTAGGAGCACTCCCTTTAAGAGTGTGCTCCTAATCTCAGCTCGTTACCTGTATAAAAGACACCTGGGAGCCAGAAATCTTTCTGATTGAGAGGGGGTCAAATAATTATTTCATGAAAATGCAAATCAATTTATAACATTTTTGACATGCGTTTTTACGGATTTTTTTGTTGTTATTCTGTCTCTCACTGTTCAAATAAACCTACCATTATAACTATAGACTGATTATTTCTTCGTCAGTGGGAAAACGTACAAAATCAGCAGGGGATCAAACACTTTTTGCCCTCGCTGTACATTATAACACAGCTAACATTGTGATTCATTAGCAGACATTAACATGAATTAGCGTGCATTGTGATCCATTGACATGACCTGTGTGTGCCCCAATGCCCCTTGTTGCCCATGCCCCTCCTCCTGCCCATCCCCTTCCTGCCCATGCTCCTATCCCCAATGCCCTTCCTGGCCATGCCCTTCCTCCCATGCTCCTACTTGCCCATGCTCCTATCCCCAATGCCCTTCCTGGCCATGCCCTTCCTGCCCATGCTCCTATCCCCAATGCCCTTCCTGGCCATGCCCTTCCTGCCCATGCTCCTATCCCCAATGCCCTTCCTGGCCATGCCCTTCCTGGCCATGCTCCTATCCCCAAT